GGCCACAAAATGGACATATAGTGTCCGGATGAGGAGGGTGCCTGCAGTCAGGAACGGAGGGACAATCCTGTACACACATGGATGCAGAAACCATCKCGTGGTAGTGATTGTGACAAAGATGATGGCGAGTACACCCAAGTGCAACAGTGTCTGTGGCTGTGCAAGGGAGAAGGTCACACAATGTCTGTACATTGTACTGCTGCACTACGGTGCCAGAGGAATGATCTTCGACATAAAGGAGGTTGCGGACAGTTTGATGTGGCAAGAGAACAGCATCATAGAGTAAGAAATCAGTAATATCAATCATGSCATGGACCATGACACCGTCGTTCCACACCTCCCAATGGTCAGAGGCGTGTACAATAGCCATGTAATGGCCAGGCCCATGCACAATGCAGGCAGAGATGSSGGATGGAGGATTAAACARCTCACCTSGTAGAGCATGGCKTAGTTCAAGCTGGCGGTTCCTCATCGCTATTTCTAGGACAGCAATGGTAAAACCTCCTTCCCTGGTGTAATTACGATGCTCTGGCTGTAGGTCGGGGTGATGAGCGAGATTAGCGAGATTAGCGAGATCAACATCAAGATGCAGGGCAATTGCAAGGAAATCTGATGGTGTATACAACAGCCGATTGAGAACGTGAAGGCAACTATTAGTTGCAGTCAGACCACAGAGATTGACGGGGATCTCAGGCTGGTTTTGTTGGTCAGTCATTTGTAGATCACCCGTGGGGTCTGCGCAGGGTGGTGCAAAAGTATGCGGTTCATCCATATGATCCTGGTCAGCCATTTGCAAATCCCTCGTGKGGTCTAYGCCATGYGGGATTAAATGCAGTCCAAGCAGATCATGTTYCAGTCCCTCRGCGTTCGGGRCCACACAGGGTGGGGCACRAGTACGCGGTTCATCCATATGATCCTGGTCAGCCATTTGCAAATCTCCCGTGTGGTCTATGCCTTGCGGGGTTAAATGCAGTCCGAGCTGATCATGTCCCAGACCCTCAGCGTTCGGGGCCACATCGTGAGTAGGGACTGTCGTYGGGAGTGTACTCTGGGCAGGGACCATATCCTGTTGCACAGCTGGGGGACAAACGAACATGGAAGGGCATAAAACATGGCGCTGTGGCTGTGTGCAAGCAGCTGGACTGTCTGCAGGAGGCATAGGAGCGGATGTATCCGTTTGGGACAACGGAACCGCAACAMCCCGTGRAGGAGGCACAGAGAGAATTGGGGTAGACAAAGAAGCAGGCCGCTGATCCCTGGCCAAGTGGCGATGTTGTGCATGTCGTCGACGATGATACACAATAAGAGGAGTGGCGATGTTTCTAACAGAAGATGTCACTGGCAATAAAGGCGGAACAATGGGAAGAATAGAAACCGGAGAATCGGTTCTCAAACGAGACCGTGGAGGAGATGGGGGTGGCGAGGAGGAACGCAGCCGTCTGCAGCCAAGCACAGAAAGGGATGAAAGGGGGGTGGACTCGACAAGATGTCGGAACATAGGACGCGAGTGTCGGGCTGGGGTGGAGGAAGCTATACCAGTAAAAACTATAGCATGAGAAATTCGAGGTACAAAAGCAGAGGAAGTGGTAAAAAGTGGAACCGCAGCAGAGACAACTGTTGTAGTAGGAACCGCAGCAGAGGCAACTTCCGTAGCAGGGACCGCAGCGGAGGCAACTTCCGTAGTAGAAACTGCTGGAGTGAAACCCGGAGTTGAAACAGCAGCAATAGAAACTGCAGCAGTGGAGACCACAACTGTAGCAGCAGTAGAAACTGCAGCAGTGGAGACCACAGCTGTGGAAGCGGCGGCAGTGGGAACCGCAACAGTGGGAACTCCATTAGCAGCAAATGAACAAGCAGTGACAGGACGAGCAGCGGAGGCAATTTCCGTAGCAGAAACTGTTGGAGTGAAACTCGGAGTTGAAACAACAGCAGTAGAAACTGCAGCAGTGGAGACTACAGCGGTGGAAGCGGCGGCGGTGGGAACCGCAACAGTGGGAATTGCATTAGCAGCAGATGAACAAGCAGTGACAGGACGAGCGCGATGTGGGGATAAAAAAGAAAGTGGGTGATGCAAGGACCATCGCAGCATGTGCCGGAACCACTGAGAGAGATGGGTGACGTGTGTAGGATAGCGACGTTGGCGGGAGCGTGTGTAGCAGGTTCATCCTTTAGCGAGGGCTGGCGGGGAATGGCCACGAGAAAGCATGCGACGAGTGAGTGTTGTCGCTGCAGTTCGGAAGTCCTGCCAATTATTGCAGATGCGTTCAAATCTGGTCAATTGCCCAGTGAACACACCTGCCGGTTGATGGGAAGGGATGTTGGAGGTAGCACTTGGATAGCGAATAACAGGGAAATCCCAAGCAACCGCTTTATCAAACACGCTCATGTGAAGCGAACCATCAGAACGTACCCGTAGATGCATACCTAAAAAGGTACACGAGTCATCTGTAGCCGTAGTTTCCTTCCACTCAAGCCCATAGTGCTCTGAAGGAGGAGGTAATTGCTCCCATGAAATAACATCATCAATGAGGCGGTAAGTGAAGGCGTATCGCTGAGCGGCTTGGGGATCATGTTGACGAATATCATCAATAAAGCGTGCTCCATCCCAATAGAGTGTTAGATTGGAGATTTATGGGCCAGCATTTGTTCCCATTGGAATAYCAATGATTTGCTTTCGAAGAGTGTCATCTCTAGTATACAGAAAAGTGTTTTCTACAACAAAGCGAAGATGTTGGAGAATCTGAGAAACGAAAAGGCTGTCTGGTCCTGAATCGGTTGTCCATTGGCCAGAGCAAGGCCCGCGAATAAACATGTTCAAGGCTCTGCAGCGTGAATGCATGCGGGTATGCTGAAGAGCATAAGCAAGAGCTTCATCAACAACCTTTGCCACATTATTCAAAATGCGGTCATGAGGAAGGTTGGTGTACATTGTGGTGAAATCAACCGTGCGAGGAGAGAGGCCACGTAGAGGTTGGTGTACATTGTGGTGAAATCAACCGTGCGAGGAGAGAGGCCACGTAGAGAGGACACATTGTTTTTCAGGTCAATCGCCACCTCATCGACACTCTGGACGATCCAGCACCGTCGAACACCTTCCTGTTGATAGAGCTCAGTGTCTTTCTCACGAAGAGTAGAGATCACGCCTTGCAACGCAGTGCTGAGACAGGACGAAGTAGCCGTTGTGCTAGCCAAGGGTTTGTGAGGAGGCCGTTCATGAATGGTGCGAATWGAAGGACGAGAGCGAGTGCGTGGGGGGACAGGACAAGCATTCTGTGATGTGACTCCAAGAATGCTGCGAAGAGYTGGAGGAGACTTGTGGGCTTTCAACACATAGTATAGGTAAGGCAGGGTATCAGTGTGGTTATAACCCCAATGATGATTTCATAGTGCATGGTGGTTGAGCACATCGGCGACGGATTCATGAGGACGAGTATAAGTGGGACTGTCCAAATGGATAGAGAGGTGAAACAAATACCAATTCTTGCAATAAATTGCCAAATTGTGGGATGATTTATGACGATATATATATATATATATATATATATATATATATATATATATATATATATATATATATATTAATGGGGACAAGGCTCCAATCTATTCGTGGGGAGCAGCACGTGCTGGGAATTGGGCCCAGCGTCCCCACAAGTGGTTAACGGGGTTAGTAAGAAGTGCACTCTATAGATTGGTGTGAAGTTTGTTTGGGATGGCCTTATGGTTTTCTTATAAATTGAGGTGAAAAATGGGGGGTCGGTTAACCTTTTCTCAGCGTCCCATATGGTAATTTACATAGAATTTTGAAAGTTTGAGGTACCGGGGCCATTACCCTGCTTTGGCTATGAAAAAATTGAGCTACTTAGAAAATTACTATAACAAGCTTCAGAAGAGAGGTCTGCCCACAACAAAATACGCCACCACATAGGTCCTACAAATGCTCAAAACCCTGTGGATCCCTAGAAACCCTTCTAAAGCTCTCCAACACTGTCTTACTCCTTGCTGAGCTCTTCCAGGTCTCACACCCCCACCCTGCTGGGTTACAGGGCAACACGACTCGCCCCAGCTCTGACCAGCGTTGTTCCAGTAGCAACCCTTGGTTGTCCCTTGGAATGCCCACCCCAAAGCATCCCTAGATCTCTCTACTAGGCCTCACACTCCTGCATCAGCAGGTTACAGGGCAACACCCCAACACCGGCCAGTGTTGTTCTGGCATCGAACAGCCGCAGATCACTGAGTATATCAGCAATGGAGCCGTCGAAGATGAGTTGCTAGGAGTCCCCAAAATCCTAAATAATTCTTAAGACCCCCATTGACAACCATGAACAACCAACAAAATCTTGGATCATAGGAACATTCAGACCGAAAAAACCACCTGCCTTAGTGCTTTCAGTAGCCCAACCTTATCTGCCTCCCCCCTATGTCCCGATACTCAATCTCTACCAGGCCTCACACCCCAACTGCTAGGTTACAGAGTGGCACGACCCACCCCAGAACTCCCCCACCTACTAGGCTACAGGGCAAAGCAACCCGCCGCAGCTCCGACCAGAGTCGACTAAGTACCAGCTCGCCAATAGACACTAGAGTGCCTTCCACCCTCGACAACTCCCCAGATCTCTCTACCAGGTCTCATACCCCCATGCAGCTCGACTTACAGGGCAGCGCGACCAAGCCCCAACACCGACCAGGATCGTTCTGCCCTCGTCCATTCGCAAACCATCGGGACCAAGGTCATCAGCAGATAGCAGCCAAGCCCCAATCGTCACCATAGCTGTAGTTCCGATCATCCAGCTCCTCCAGACACTGGTTGCATCAACCGACAATATTCCTTCGCAACCCTACTCCGGCAAGACTTACCGCTGTAGAGTCACCATCTCCGCCGCCGCTGTGCCGTATTTCCACCCTACAGGCTAGCCCCTTCGCCAGAGCGCATTATTTTCAACCATTGCAGCCAACACAACCCACTGCAACCAGCACCAAACTTATGAAGATTCCCAATGGAGATTTATCCATTGGGAATCTTCATAAGTTTGGTGCTAATTGCAGTGGGTTGAGTTGGCTGCGATGGTTGAAAATAATGAAGATTCCCAATGGAGATTCAGAAGGCTTCATGAGACTCAGATGCACATTACGAAAACCTAAAGTATTGCAGCCTGAGACACAGTTCTGGGATGACTTTTAGCGTCCCACAAACAAGTGAAATCAAGTTCCGAATTCAAAAAATAAGGGCCCCAAACTTAGAAATTAAATCGAAAACATTCGAGATAAGCTTACTGGGAATTATAAGAATTTAAAATTCCAAATTTCAAGCAGATTTGAACGTGAACATTTTAAGAAGAAAGAAGTAAGAGAACATAAAAATTCAGATTCAAAAGTTCTAAATTTATTTCGGATAAAGTATTATGAAATCACACTTGAATTTATTTATGATATGAGATGATATGAGATTTAGATTTGTGGTAGGAAATTAGGATAAAAACATTATGCTGGAACTGAAAGGATTATGCATGTCATTTGACATTGCACGTAGCTCAATGACACATTGACAGATATAGATACCACAACACAAAGACAACTACTGAATAGAGAACAGTAACGACAGTCAATAGATGGATATGGTAAAACGTTCATTTTTGTTCAATTTTGGTGTAATGTACTTTACAGGGACGCTGGACCCGATTTCCAGCAGGTGCCGCTCCCCACCAATAGATGGAGCCCTCCCGGCGGTGCTAGTGGTGTTTGCTCTTATCAGCACCCCTAGCGTCCGCTTGGGTTGTTTCATTTAAAAAAAAAGGAACAGTTAGGGTTATTGGTAATCTGAATTTTTTATATTTGAGACAAACTCTTAGAGATCAAGGTTTAGGCATCTGGGGTACGAAATAGGGGAACCGAGGGAGGGAGAGAAAAGAGAAACCAGGTAAGAGAGCTTTCCTCTTACTATGGATAGGGTCCTAAAACTACCCGCAACACTTCAGCAGTGAAAAGCTATATGTCCTCGACCATACTGTGTCAGTGTGCCTCGCCACACCCTCGGCCCAAAGCCAGGCGCGCCCCTCCGATATTGCACACAGATCGTGAATACAAAGTTCAACTTAGGAGGTTGGATGCTGCACGCTGCTCGTCTTCCTTCGTTTCACCGCCTATCTCCTTCAACACCCCTCCACAACCTTCATTGTTCACTTACCACGAGATGTTCTGCCGTATTGTTGTGAAGAAGTCCAAAGGTCCCATGTAGAACATAGGAGGAGACACCATTGTACTTGAGCAACTGCGTCGCGCTAAGCGTGAGGACAACCATATTAAAAAGACTACCTCGACCGCCTCTTCAACCGTCGTTCCTTCACCCGAACCCAACCCCACCGCCATCGGAAGAGAGATGCCAGGCCTCTCCCTACCCGCTAGCTACGAAGGCATCAACTGCCCTTCATTCCAACAAAACAAGGCTAGCGGCACTAAGGCACCTACGACCATCCATGGCACAACGAACCAATGGATGGTAATGGCCACACCTTGTCGAGCTCGTCGGCGAGTCGCCATAGGAGATTCAAGTGTTCGAACGAAGCACCCATCAACGGGATAGAGAAGCAAGTTGAAGAAGAGGCGAGGAAAACCAACTTATACCGCTGCAATCCTCACGCACCACCATCGCCATGAATAGCTTGCTCTGCCTCGTGACTTCCAGCACACCATAGCATCGCCGCCAGGTTTTTTGCCTGAGCGGCAGCCACGCGACCTCCAACGCACGGTGTGTCCCCGCCAAATTCTTTCGCTGGGCCGGCAGCCCAGAGACAGCAACTAATATACATCTCTTTTTTCGTTTTTTTTTTTTTGTGTGTGCTCACAGGACCCACCCCTTCCTACCTCAACGTTCTTCTTTCCTTAGTGTAACCCCTTCTTCTCCATCTACGGAGGCACTGTTGGCCCTACCTCTGATATGCCGAACAGCAGTTGCAGGCACCAGTGCTAGGCCAGAACACCCCTGCCAGCCCCAGTTGAAGCACTATCAAATGAGCCTTGTCATATGGGCATGTCGGTCGCCAAACGAGATTGTCTTGTACACTTTCCTTGAGGAGTACTCTGCTCTGTAATCTTCTGAGTTTGTGGGGAAGAGCAATACATGTGGTACCCCTTCTGGAAAAAAGTGGTTAATTTAAAAATTAAACTCCACCAGCTGTGCCTATTTTGCCTAACCAGATTTTGCATGAAGTGAGACGGGAGCTGCTCTTGGTCGATCGTTTGGCTTTTGACTACGTGACACCCCAGGCCTCAGATCTTGTGGCCTAGTAGGAGGCCGAAGAGACCGACCGAGGGCCCGTGGCCGTTGCCGCGCGGCCAAGTTTCCACGCGACCGCCCCAGGCCAAGCGCGGGAAAACGGTGCGTGTGCGCGGCCGTCGCACGTCGGCCTCTAAGGCCCTGTTAAAAAATAAAAATTAAAAAAATTGGGGGGGTGTTTTTTAGTATGTGAGAAAAAATAAAAATAAATATATATATATAATATATATTGATTGATTGATATTTTTTTGATTGATTGATTGATTGATTGATTGATTGGTGGGGGAGGGGTCCTCCCTCCCCTACGCCCGACACACGGGCACACACACACACACTCAGCGGAACGCATGCACACACACACACGCGCGCGCGCGCACGCACACACACACATACACACGCACACACACCCGCGCACGCACACACACACACACACACAC